TCAAGAAACACAGTATTTTTTAACAGTTAAACAGCATTATATTTGATTAACAAGCCAAAATATATATTTTCAAAGCCTTATTAAAAGCCCCTGTATTTAACAGTGTAAATGCTGAGATTTACAAACCTCTGTGAGCCAACACTGCTCCTTCAATTCTCAAAAGTAATTATAAAACAAGCAATTTGAGCCACAAGCAGCAGAAACTGTCGAGCTTGGGGTTTTTAACCATGCTCACAGCACATCCCAGTCTGCAGCCTGACTCCAGCTCCCTGCCATATTCCCTGTCCATCCCAGGCCAGGCAGGGCTGGAGTGCAGCCCTGAGCATGCCGGAGCCACCAACCACCCCATCCCTGGGGACTGCAGCCCAGTGACACCAGGCAAAAGCAACATTTGGACCTGCCCAGCATTTTTCTGCAGCAAAGCCACACCTGGCAGAGTCAGCCCAAGGTTTTCATCTGCCAGTTCTCTCCATGGACAGCCCAGGGAGGCAGAAGCTGGAGAACAACCAGAGCCCACCTCTGTGATGGAGCCAGGAAGGCAAGTGGTGGCTATACCCTGCAAACAGCCTTGGCACAATGAGAAGAAAGGTGGGGCTTTTTAAGAGCTAAGTAATTCAGTTTATGCTTTCTTTGTTCACTTTGCAAAATATATAGAAAAAGCTTCTCATGCATCATGTTAAATTCACTAAAAATTTGTGACCTCATGCAGAAGCAAAGTTATTGCAGATATGTAAGCTCCCAGAAAAACAACTGGCTTCCAGCTCTGGAGGTATCATCTCCAAAAACATCTCTTACAGTTAAAATGACTAAGCAGATAAAACAGCTCTTAGCCACAATACAGAATAGGCTGCTGACTTAATGGATGGCATCAGAAATCACAAGCACTAAAGCAACACAAAACAGTAGGGGCAGCTGGCTAAACTAGACTTTGAAGTCCTTTAGATAAAATGTCTGAAATACCAACTCACCTTGAGTATGAAATGCCAGATTCTTTGAGGAGCATGTTCATATCAAAATCTGGGCCCTCCTTAATCAGGAAGGACATTTTTGCATGGCAGAAATTAATACATCCTTTTACCCAGAGCACTATATTGGGCAAAATTCCCATTTTGACAGAACAGAGGGTGGGATGAGAGGTAAACATTTGTACAGTTGTGCATTGCTGCTAAACTGAAACTGTGTTAAAAATTTAATGCATTCATGAATATTAGGAAACAGAATTACAACTGACCAAATGTATATATTTCAGATGTATACATTTAAATTTGTACTGTGTATAGGTAGCTGTGCTTCCATTTTTCACTGAAACTAACTCATGTTTCTTGCAAAAACTTCAGTTGTCGAAAAAGAATGGCTTGGTATGCAAGAAATCTGAATTTTTATCATTTTCTTTCATGCTAATGATAAATCAAGGTAAAAAGTTTCTTTTGGCTGTATAGATTCTTAAATATTAATAAAGATAGCTAGGAAGATTACAGGCAGAACATTAACTATGGGAACTTGAACTGTGGGAAGCACAAATTCCTCACATACTTGCAAGTTGATAATTCTCCATCTTCTTTACTCCTCTGTCAGTTATTAATATGATAAAGGGCTGAGGCCCCTTTCTTCATTTTCAGTGATTGCATTTATTTCACAGCAATGATTTCTTCCCTATTAATAGATTCATTAAGGGTAAGTAAAGTGCCAGGCACCAGCTGCACTGGTTCAGCTCCTTCAGAAAAGGACCTGGAGAGTATAAGGGTTCACAAGTTTTATAGAAGTCAACAGTACCATGCTATTGTGAAAAAGATTGGACTGTCACATTGCAGAAGTAAATAGATTGCAAGGCATGTCATGTAATAAACTCCACACAGGATTGGCACCAGCTTATCTGGGTATCATGCTCACCTTGGACCACTGCCAATCAAGAAAGGCAGAAAACAGCTGGAGATAGGCCAGAGGAAATAAAAACAGCTGGAGATAGGCCAGAGGAAATAAAGAATGAGAGAAAATTCGGAAAATGTGAGCACTAAGGAACCATTGAAAAAAACAGCAGTTATTTAACCTGAGGAGGGAAAGGCCAAGGAAAGATATGATAGCAGCTTTCCATTAAGTCAAAGAAAAAAGGAATAATCTGCTTTCTGTGCCTATAGGACTGGAGAAGAATTAATGCCTTTTTTGGAAGAACATTTCTACATAGAAAGAAAATGTTTCTTATATTGAGCAAATTGCAGTGTTAGAATGGATTGCTGCTTTCTCATTGAAACTCACTGAAAGTCTCTGAAAAAGATAAATATCTGTCAGGAATGGCAAAAATAGTTTATTTTGCCTCTCAACAACAGAACAGACTAAAAAGAAATCCCAGTGCCCAATTCTATTTTTCATGATTTTTTTGAAAGCATGGCACTTCAAAACAGCAAGCTGGACATTGGTTTTCAGACTACATAAAAACACACCTCTGTTTCAAACAAATTCATATTTTTCAATGTTATTTAATACAATAATTATAGCAATTACTAAAATGAAACCACATTAAACAGCATTTGTTCTGCATGTATTAATATTTTTTCCTGATTTCTACAAGTTTAATACCCCTTCTCTATTCTGAAATCTATTTACTTCCATTTCTACAACATAAAACAGTCATTGAAAAATAGGTGCTTTCGTTCTATCAACCAGACCTTTCAAGAAAGCAGAGAATGGAGCCACAAAACGAAAATCCCACATTAAAAAATATTTAACACAACTTCTATTTTAGAATCATAGAGTGGCTTGGGTTGGAAGGGGTCATAAATATAATTTTGTTGCAACTCCCCTGCCTAGGACAAAGCCACCATCCACTATCCCAGGGTGCTCAGAGCCCCATCCAACCAGGCCTTGAACACTTCCAGGGATGGGGCAGCCACAGCTTCTCTGGGCAACCTGTGCCTCCCCAGCCTCATTGTAAACAATTTCTTCCTCATAGCCCACCTAAATCTCACTTTAAACCCCCTTCTCCCTGCCCTGTCCCCACAGACCTTGGTAAAAAGTCTTTCTCCACCTTTTTTACAGGCCCTCTTTACATCCTGAGAGGCCACAAAAGCCTCCTCAGAGCCTTCTCTCCTCCAGGCCAGGCAAGCCCAGTATTCCCAGCCTGTGTCCATAGGAAAGGAGCCCCTGGAGCATCTTCATGGCCTCCTCTGGGCCCCTCCAGCAGGTTCCTGTATTTCTTCTTGTGGGGACCCCAGAGCTGGGGGCAGCACTGCAGGTGGGGTCAGTTTTACCATCTGTTCTTTGAAAAAGGCAATTTCAACGGGATATTATATTTAAGGTGGTACTCAAAGAGCATCAAAACAACATTATAAATGTTGTACCCCACTGTGTGGACAACAGAGTGGGATAGATTTCATTATTAACAACAATTTCATAAGTTATCCAGAATCAGTTAATTTGCTTTGACCAGTCAAGGTACTCTAAGCAATTACTTGGTTGACATAGAACAAAAGATGAAGTGAATTTACATATGAAGTGTACACAATATTACTCTCACTCTTGCTAATACATTGTCATCATGAGAAAGTAAATGAAGGTATTAATTTCATTCACACTTGTGTTTTGGAAGTGTCTGAATATACAAAGCAACATCACAGCCTCATCATGCTATAATGTAAATAAATACAGTATTTCAAACAGCACCTGCTTCTATCATATTCTATTATTACCAAAGTATGTAAAGTATGAACATTACCTTTGAACGGAATAAACATTTTCATTTAAAAATATAATTAATTCCATTGTTCAAAAACTGGAATTAAACCATCATGCAATGACTCATAATACTTCACAAATAATTTGATGACTGCTACTGATCTTTTTTCATTGCAGAGAAGTTTAGCACAATAAAGTAAATTCCCAGCTTGGCCATGATTCATTTCTTAAGCTGTTTTCTGATACAAAAATGCAAAAACCCCACATAACTATTATAAAATAGCACTCAAAGTATGTTTAGAAATACAGAACTATTGTCTGAACCTTCAGAGATACACCTTAAAAAAATAGTCTTTATTATTCACTGCATCATTTGCACTTTTTACATAATGTAATCACAGGATTTAAATAACTTAATTTAATATTTATTCAGTAACTGGCAGCCAGTATTCTACCCTGAGGGATGTAACTTTTTATAAAAAGCTCATTTTACAAGACACTGGAGTAGTTTTGGCATTACCATCACCTCTCACATAAACCATGCAGAAAACTATAGTTTATCCTGCCAAATGCCTTTTCTACATATGGTGTTTAACAGTGCTCTGTAGGTCTGAAAGCCAGTAACAATAGATTTAAGCTAAAAATCTGGTAGCACACATGTATGTAACACAAAAAATTAAACAATGCTACATTTTCATGGATATATTTACCTACATACCCCAAATGCATATAAGCAATTAAAATTACCCTTTAAATTCATGTGCTAACTATAACTCCTGTAAAAACAGTTTCAGTTTGCAGCAGCTTCCTAAAGTTTAATTCTCCTATTGACATCAGAAGCAGAACTTCCATTAACCTCAGCAATATAGGATCAGGCCACAGGAAACCCAAAGTAATATATTTAAAGACAGCACATACAGATTTTCAAAATTCTCTAATTATGCAAGGATGGGCTGGGCACTTTATTGGGTTAACTGCCCCAGTAAACTTCTAAATTAAAATTTTAAATAGCACATTTTAAATACTACATCATAAATACATAAATACTACCACATAAATAATGACAGAATAAAATCCTGTTATGTGTCCACATGTGGTTAAAGATGGACCTGATGAAATTTTTATTGTAGGCAACAGCAAACCTCACAACCTTTTTGACATTTGAAGTCTGACTTGAAGTCAAATGTGACTGAAGGGAATCAGCTGGATTTGTTAAGTAGTATTTAATGTAAGTCTTCTTTATAATTAAGACACTTCATAAAAAGATTAGTGATTGAGTTTAAAATTTTAATATATTGACAACTGGGTAACATAATGCTGAAAATACTCACCACTTTCAAAACAGGCATCAAATATAAGATGTCCTTTTTTGGGCTGCCCACAGTAACCAGCTGGGAGAACAATGTACTTGCTCACGTTCCCTGCTATGATATCATCACTTCCCATGGCACTGCCTGTTGCAGCAAAAGTGAAAAAAAAACAAACCATGAGCATAAAACAAAATATATTTAATATATAAAAAACAGTAGAAGGCTACTTCCCCACACATTTCTACATAAAATAAATTTTTCACCATTTAACATCTGCATCAGTAAATTAATTCTTTCTTTTCAAAGTGTATGTAAGAATTTTGATATAATAATGGCATAATCTGCTAAAGACTCTCTAAGGGACAAACCACCCAGCCTGGTCCCTTGCATGTTTACAACATGTGGCTGAACCCTTTTATATGCATTAGTCTGACATTCAGCTGGATCTACTTCTTTCAGCAGGAACTCTCTAGGTCTAGATCCTGCTGCATTCCCTGGAACTGAACTCCTCATCACAACCCTCAGAAGCATTCCTCTATCAGCATTAATGGGATCTTCTTTCTCTATCTTACTGCCTACTTTCATGCATCTTAAATGAACTTAGAACCTTTGAGACCGTTCAGTCCCACTCAAATTTGAAATTTTAGAATTATTAGAAGGAAGAGACATCCACCCATAGAGCCATGTGACTGAGCCCTCCTTGTTAGGAAACAAAACTCAGAAAAATAACTTGAATAATTATACTTTTTAAGGGGCATTATTTCATGGTAAAATATAGAAGGACATAAGTTTCCATACAATGGCATGATTTTTGTCAAAATGCATCAGTACTGAACACACTGAAAGCTTTATCCTTACCGTAAAATTATAATAACAAATTGCAGTCTGCAAAATATTTGTTTCCAAATAGCGATAGAAGAACACCAATTTTTTTTTCCATTTGAGATATGTAAAATAAAGGAAACAAATAATTGGATATTATATCATAGATTTATATTATAGTGCAAGAAGCACTCAGCACTTTCTTCACTACTTACAGCTTGGACAAGAAATATTTAACAATAGAAAAACTACCTTCTGTATTATAGAAAATGAAGAAATGGTATGGCTTCAAGTGCAGAAGGCATGTGATGGGATAATGGGATGATAATATCTTATTTCACTCTGATAAATAGGGCTACTAAGGCTTCTAGAAATAGACTTTTGGTCTGTACTGATTTTTTTGACATTTAAATGGGTTATGGGGGATGATAAATGTGACATAAAGCTCAATTTGTTTTATTTTTATATTGAAAACTATTTCACACAAATGTTACAAGCAATTCATATTGTCCCTGAACGAGGAAAACAGCTTATTAATTAAAAGTGACCTTTCCATACATAAAAGTATTCCACCTCTTGAGGCAAAACACCTTAGCTGAGGTAACAAATTATATCAATGTATTAGTGACACCATAGTTAAAGGGTCTGTCAGGCTTTCTATCATATACCCATATTTTCACAGGTACATAAATCCCACATTAAAAAATATGCAAGTCCAGGTCAATATCTGGCATATGAATCCCCAGTCTTCCCCAGGAAGAAATTTGGAACTTACTCTCTTTGGGAAGTACTACAACAGAACAAACAGAATTTAGACCTTTTCTTACTTTATCATAATCTAGAATTGTAGAGATTTAAAAATGCATGATAGTATTTTTTAGCAAAATTATTATTTGTAACCTCTGGGTTATTTGTTTTAGACTGAGTAATTACCAACAGACAGCTATCTGTGGCATTTAAATTGTTTTCTTTAAGTGTATAATTGATACTTAGGATATTTTAACTGGATGTTTTTTACCAGCATGCTGATACAATTTGCTTAAAGCCTGGGAACAGCAGAGACAAACTGTGGCCTGGATGGGGCATCTGTGAATCTGCATGGCTGTTATCCTGTCCCTTGATAAAATTCACCCCTCTGCACTGAGCAAGGTCCAGTGCAGAGCAGCAGCCAGAGGAAAACCCTTCCTCAGTTTCACCTGAGTTGGATCAATACATCCCTCTTGCAGTTAAGATTAGTCAAGTTGGTCATTTGCAATCAAACATTGTGGAATTAAGGATACAAAGAAAAATTAGTGGAAAACCTGCAAATCATCATGAGTGCCTGAGCTGAAAGAATGGGAGGCAGGGAGTCACCTGAGTAGAGTTGTTTGAAGACTGGACTCCTTTTGGTAAATGCTCCTTTTGAGTCTCAGCTAAAAGTAACAGACCTCTTAGAAATTGTAGAAGATAACTGGGAAAAAGCTGAAGAAACTAGAAAGAATTACATTCATAGCACTGCCACCATAAGACAGTAGAGGAAAAGCAGGCAGAAGAGAGAGTTACATCTCCCTGGCAATTTAGAAAATCTGCCAATGGAGACTTTACACAATGCAGAAGGAAGCTGTCAAGTAACTGTGTCCCAGCAAAAAGTTTCCATCTGCTCCTCCTGACCTAATGTAGCCCTCCAGGAATGAGAATAAAATCATCAAATACCCTGCAATTCATAGTCATTTAGCAATATTACTCTCCTAGCATGTTCTTTATTCTACAGTAATTAGAATATTCACAACGCACGGTTGCTATATTTTGAGTTATATTATCTTTAATCTCTAAACATGCAAAACTGCTGTTTCTGAATGGCATATTATTCAGCAGCACAACAGCACCACGTCCCTTCTGGCATGTTCTCCTTGGGTGATAAAAAGGCCAGAGCAGTGCCTGACAAGGAGCCTGTGTGAGTCCATGATAAACCATGGCTTCACGCCTGTGTGCTCAGCAGAGGCAGAGAGCACATGGGAGCACATCACACCCTCAGATGGAGAGAACAGCTACCCCGGGCTCCTCTGGCCAATCCTGAGATCCTGTCCTCACAACTGGGGAGCCCTCAGCAGATTTTCCTGCCTGGAGGCAAAGACGTATGACAGAACCTTGTGGGGAAGGGAAATAGCTCTTCGATCTGAAACAAACTGAAAGGGAAAGAAGAGAATTAACTGAAGTACATCCTGCACATTCCACTTAAGGAGACCAGATTCTCCTTTGAAAAAAAGGTTAGATAAGACAAGCAAAGGCAAAACCGAGCAAAGAAATTGTCTCAGAATGTAGTTCTTATTTTGTCAATTATTTTTCTTATGGGTTGTAAGACACATAGCTATTTTATTCTAATTCTTCATAGCTTAAACTCCAGGAGGCTCCAGCAAATCCCTAGGATTTACTTTTACTGCAGTATTAAACTTTAATGGTAATTTTCTATCAGGTATAAAATCTGTGGGTGCCTGAAATCTCTGTAAGTATATAAGGCTTTAAAATAAAACCTGGGCAGAGTCTTCTGGTATCTGCATTCATCACTATTGTCATTGTGGATATATTTCACATCAAACTAGTGAAAATTAATAGAATCAGTTCCAGGAGACTGGGATTCGTGGGAGGGAGAGTTTGGAAATTTCCAGAGTTTCTTTGCCCTTCTTAAATTCAAAGGGTAAAGCCAACTTTTTTTTTTTTAATTTAGGAAAAGATGAAATCAGTATTTGCTACAATAACATCATGCAAATTAAAGCACATTTTCTTTAAACACTGTAGTTTTCAGAGGTAGGTACCTCTTTAGAAAGTAGCAGGGACTCTGGATTGGGTAAACAACAAACCCAGCTTACAAAAGTGCCAAACATGAAAACCCAGGGAGCAAGCAGCCAGCAGCTACCCTCATGCTACATTAGGCAGGAGAGCACAGCTACATTAAAACAGACATGGAAAAATATAGCAAGAATTTGCCTGGAAAACCTGCATCTTTCTTCTAATCACACTGCCTAACAATGACAGCCAATTAGAAAGGTGAGGTAACACAAAAACCTCCAACAACTGCAAGGAAATTTTGTGGAAGTCTTTCTTTAATTACAAATGTCATCAAGATACCCTGCATTCTCTTATGAGATCCTTATTTTAGAATAAAATTAGAATACATTTTGCTGCTGGAAACATCTATGGTATAAAAATCTAATAGCTAGATCCCTATCATCCAGGGGCCAGGAAAAGTTTCCAGGTATCCTAGATAAGCTCCATCAGCCTTGAGCAGTACTGTTAATAGAAATCCACACAAAGAAGTGAATCTGAACTCTTAGTACAGTTTGAAATGAAAAAAACTAATTCAGATGACCAACAGCAACTCCCATTAGCTCCAAAAGTCTGCAGACAAACAATGCTCAACTCATGCTTTGGCTAAGTAGCACTAATGGAAGTTATGCCAATAACAGTGTCTGCTCCACAAACCTGAAAACAATGTCATTTTAGCAAAATTCTTTCAAATGATAGTATTTAGTACAAGTCTATAGTCTCAACAGCTGATTATGTTCTCTTATTCTTTGACTTTTTTTTTTAATAAAAGCTTTTATATCATTGTTCCTAGGCTTCAGAAACACTGATATTCAGGAGGACAAGCTATCTCCGCTATGAATTCTGAATGCTCTGCAGCCATTCTAAAAATCCTACAGGCAGTAGCAGTCAGGAACTTGGAATTCCAGCTCCATTGACTTAAAAATGCTAAGAAAAAGAAGAAAACACAGCTGTCATTTTGATCTTCACAGCGATGTATCCCAAAGCAAGGCTTGGGCATGACCCGGAGAATCTAAACATACTGCAGAGTGCTGTCAGTCTGAAATGTACTTAAATCACAGGCACTGTGATCTGAAAAGAAAGGGGAAAAAATGTATTTAGACTACAAATTCCAGGGTTTGAGACAATATCCAGCATGACAGTAGCCACACCTGCTGCCTCACATTGGGGTACTGAGCCCATTCTGCCACCATTACCTATTTCAAAAGTCGAGCAAGGAAAACATTGGTTACCACAAGAAAGCATTGTCATATAGCTTGGTCTAGCTCTAAAAAATGGTAACATGATGTTGTCATTTAAAAACCAAATTTGAGATAAAGCAGCTTTGCAGCAATTGTCTCTTCAATTACTTTCCTCCTACGGTTTGACCAACAGACTGCTTGTCAAGTCTGTCTCCAAACTGTGAGATGATATTCATACAAGCAAAGTAAAAATTAACTATAGTTTAGCACAGATTATTAAGCAAACTCTGAGATTTGTACAGATTCACAGGTACTGAAAGTAGTAGAAATAAACTGC